ATTACACGTTATTTTGTTGAATTCTAACTGTGATCAGTTCACTACATAATAATTAAAAGATTTACAAGAATTCAAAGACATAGTAACGATGTCTCGTAGTAGACACGCATCCGAGCCAGGGCAGTCGAAACTAAATAGTTTTTTTAATGTCAGCAATCTTGATGATTTTAGCCCAAAAATACTCTGTAAAAAATTCATATTTCACTGTATTTAATCAATTTCCCATGCTATGTTTTTTAAGCTTTTAACTTTATTATCGTTTTCGATAAAATGTGCATAGGACCTAAGTGTCAATCGCCGTCTTATTTTTAGAGTTGCTTCCCGTTGTTATGAGACGTCGCGTGGCGCTATTTTTAGCACTGGGGCACGTGGAGAAGTAAACAAAACTTGGTGAAAAACGCATTATCTAGAAAAATAGAATGCTTAGAAAAAAAGGACACTTATCCAATTGTTCCTTTGTGTGTTTACTTAAAAAAATACTATCCATTTATCAGTTTTAGTCATATTTAAACAAAACATTTCATACAACAGGCTACAACAATTCTTACAATTGATATTGCCCTGGTTAATGTATCAACAATTTTTTTTAATTCCTTCGGAAGATTACTACAGTTTTGGGCAAATTCTGGTACATTTGTGAGGTAAAATACAGGATAAATCCTTTTCAATTTTAATTCTTATTTTTTTTTAACTTTAAACAGAGTTAGTTATTCCATTGTTTTGTGTTGCAATGGTAAAGTTTACAAATTGTAAAACCAGTCATTGATTAATGAAGATTAGGAAGTCTAACGCGCATTCGTGTTTTCGGTCACATTTTGTCTTCACGCAGCTTCCTCCATGGTTAAATTTTCAAGTGTGAAGAACCCTGTGTTCATATGAAAATGATTTAAAAAAAAAAAATGGTGAAAATCTCATGAATCTAGTGGGGTTATTTTATCTGAAGGAAAACCCCTTGGCCAGAAAAGTTGAAACAAACATGAAAGCTTGACATAGTGTTAACTTATTCAATTCTGTTAATATCATCAGACCCAAGAGGTAGGGTTAGACCACAAAAGGAGGTAAAATTTTAAGATTGGAATATATAGGTCTATAGGAAAAAAATGCTTTCAAAAATGTTCTCAGAGCAGCAGGGACATGAAAAAGAGATATAATTTTGCAAGTATATGCAGATAGTGCCAATCTAATTAAAATTAAATGTTAGATCTACTCATATACTCACTACACTAACATCTAACAACATCCCATAGAGGGTCACGTCAAAGGTCAAATTCTATCAACCAATCAAATCTTTGCCTGCAAAATCATCGCATATTGTTGAGGCAAATAAGTCTAAAGCTGTTCCAAATTTGACATCTGACGACTGACCCTTAATGGGATGTTGTTAGAAGTAAGTGTAGTGAGTATGCGAGCTGATCTAACATCTAATTTTAATTAGATTGAGATAGTGCAGACTCCTGATTACAAATATAGTCAAATAAATCCAGAAGAGTACAAAAAAATTTGTTAAATCAATAGAAATGGTAGAACAACACCAGAAGATCAAAGTTATACAGGTATTATGTAGGAAATACGCAGAAAAGTTTATATAGAAATCTTTTCATAAATACCAGAGCCGTGGTAAATGCAGATAAGTATTGATTTGTAGATATTACTAAAGCATGGGTCCCCAAGATGTATACATTTATAATACTCAAGTACTGAAGTTCAGTTATCCCATGAAAGGGTCACTGAAAGTCATAAAAGTGGGAAAATTTAAATCATGATTAAAAGCAGATCTAAGGTTGCTTGGGTGAGCATAGTGGCCCATAGGCCTCTTGTTATATAATTTAACACAATAATAAATGTACTTCTAAAATGGATCCTCTTCTGCATTGTTCAGTATAATGAGACTAATTAAAAGCCGCAGTAAAAAAAACTAGTTTTTAAGTACTTGCACTTTATAAGACCACTAAGCATGGTAAGTACCTTCTTTAACTAGTAATTTTTAGTAACATTTAAATTATGTAAAAGGAAGATTGAATAATATATTTTAATAAATGTATGGTCATGTCTCAAAATAAAAAGAGAAAAAATAACCATACACTTTTTTAAAACTATTTTTAGTGGAAGCATGTGACATACTCATGATACTTGACATGTTTTAACAGTAGGTAACTGTCAGGGATAGTTATGAAGCATACAGAGAAGCAGTCTGTATTCTATGTAAGTAAACTGCTTCCTACTCACCTAAAAAAAATGTTCATCACTGTTATGTAGTTTATTTCAATAAATACTTTTAATTAGAAGATTTATTGATCAGTACATGTTATCATGTAATAGTACAATATGTAGACCTTGACATATTAAAATAGATGTCTATAATAATAGATAGCTGGCATTAAATTTTCAGTTCTCTTTCCTATAAAACATATCTATACAGTAAAACTTGTTTAATAATAATAATAATAATAATAATGCTTTATTTATTATAATAAAGAAGGTAACCCGATTAGTACAAAGTACTATTCTTCCCCGGGGCCTTCTACAATTCAAACGATATACATAAAATTGTACATTCAAACATATATACACAGTACATGAACAATGATAAGCTCATTTTATATCTTCATAATCGGATGTAATGTACAAATTAAACTAATGGAAATATAGGACAATAAATAAGTCAATATACAAAGTTTAAAAGACGTAGTATTAACAATAACAAGGATATCTATAATAATGAAAATTACAGACGTTGGCTGATTATTACTTTTTCCAAATTCGTTCTAAAAACAGGCAAAGATGGTGATAATTTAACATGTAATGGTAGATTATTCCATAAATGTACACCTGAATATTGAAAAGAGTTTGTAAATAGGATTGTTCGATGCTTTGGTAATCGAAGATTATAATTCAATTCTGAACGCAATGAGTAGGAATCGGAACTGTGAAAAATAAAAAGATCCTGGATATATTCTGGGCTCATACCACAAAAAGTTTTATACAATAAAATACATTTATAAAACGTAACTAACTCAAAAACATTTAACCATCCTAGTTTTTCAAACAAAGGCTTAGATGGATGGTCAGGTGCTGCATCAAGAATAATTCTAGCAGCACGTTTTTGAAGTTTATGAATTCTCTCGATGTTAGATTTGGACGTATTACCCCAGACTGTAAGACAATAGTTTAGTACGAACACGGATATTGCGAATTTTACGAATATTGCGAAGTTTATGAATTCTCTCGATGTTAGATTTGGACGTATTACCCCAGACTGTAAGACAATAGTTTAGTACGAACACGGATATTGCGAATTCACGGATATAGCGAATTCATTCGGGATCCCCAGGTATATAAATTAAATGAATTTCTTATACGGTTATAACGAATAACGGTTAAAGCGAAGTAATTTCAAAGGTCCCAGCGACTTCGTTATAACCGAGTTTTACTGTAATTTATTGCTCAACTATATAAGTGGGTAGAGAGAGAGAGGCATCCCTTATTTATAACAGAAATATCTGTACATACATATAAAGATATTTAAAATCCATTTAGTAGCCTGAATTTGCCTGTCTGATATGCGCTATCTTTCTTACAATAGAGACTGGCGATACCAGTCTAGACCAAGCTTAAAAATTCTGTGTTTGCAGTTGTATAATTTTTAGAAAGGGTAGGTTAGAAGGTTTTTTTTAGCTTTGTTACTAAAAATAAATAAGCTACACACATCATAAGCCACTTGTGCATAAAAATCAAACTAAAATAGAAATTGAAACAGTTTCAATATCCTGAAACTGGCTGAAAGCTTGAAACTTTAAAAAAAATTATAATACATAATGGCTTAAAAAAATTGAGTTGGGCAAATTTTCAGTGGGGTGGTAGACAACTGCATACAAACAGATTTTTATTTTAAGCCCTATCCTTTTCCGAGTAGTTAGTTTCATGCTGCTAGACAGTCATATTGGGTGTCCCCTATAAATGTCACCAGTGCACAGCTGGCTTTTTCAGTCTATATTTGATACTATAAAGTTGCATGGCATTTATGGAAAGCAAAAAAAGAATTTTTTAATGTTTAAACTGGAAACTTTATTTTATGCAACATATGCATCCATCATCGACCATGCACTTATATAAAGCACATTGTGTTGTATATTGTAATCCCTAAAATAACCCTACCAAAAGACCTTTTATTTCTATTTTTAGCTCACCTCGATGAAGTCGAGATGAGCTTATGCTATACCGTAAGCATCGGTGTCCCAGTTAAGGTTTTAGGAGCAGGTCCATTCCCAAGTAACTATAAGCCCTACCCGGACCAAACTTGCATGATGCATTTAGGAATGGACACTACCAGACTTGCTTTGGATGCTAGATCTGACCTATAATTTCATTCCCAAGTAACTATAAGTCCTACCTGAACCAAACTTGCATGGATGATGCATCTAGGGATGGACACTACCAGACTTGCTTCGGATGCTGGATCTGACCTACATTTTCCAGATGAGTGACCAGGTTAAAGTTTTTGGAGCAGATCCATTCCCAAGGAACTATAAGCCTTACCCGGACCAAACTTGCATGGATGATGCATCTAGGGATGGACACTACCAGACTTGTTTCGGATGCTGGATTTGACCTACATTTTCCAGATGAGTGACCAATTGATTATCTATGTTTTTTGTTTGTTTGTTGTTGTTTTTTTTTGGCCTTTACTATGCATACTCTAATCCTTTACTGATTATTATGTCAGGTGCAGATTAAAAATGCTTCCTGAACAAGTTACTGTAGAATAAAATAAGGTACAATCATGCAAGTGGGCTTAAATGTCATCAGCTGCTAAATTTATCATGTTTATATCCTGGTTAGTTACATTTCCTTGTGATGTATTTAAAACAATGTCCACATGATATAGGCCTGTTAATTTTCATGTTTTCAGATTACATGTACATGCATCATACTGTTATCCATGTTATCCACTGCTAAATTAAAACAACAAATTACTTCACTAATTTTCAATTACTTCCCCAGAACTATGGTCACAATTACTATTTGTAGCTTGCTGTTTAGTTAGACAATTATGCAGGATTTAAACCTTCAGTCAGAGATTTGACACACCAATTAGGTGTCAAATACATGTAATCTCTTCTGTCAGTGGTTTGTTTAGACTAACCTAACTGAATGTTAAGTATGCAAGTTCAACATCTTCAAGATCTAATTGTGGACTGTTTTTGTTGAATTTTAAGGAACTTTAACATTAATTTTTTTTTTTTTTTTTTCAGATTTCAGGAAATGTTTAAAACAGTGAGGACCTACTTCCTGATCTTTCTTGGATTCTTTAAAATCAGTGCCTGGACAGGTAAGCTTGTTAGTTCATTTGTTGTTTTAGTTCAACATTCATACATAAAATATGAATTTTAACCTGAAATGCCCAACACTACAGATTAAAGCTATACATGTATGTTTTAATAGTACATGTATGCTTTAAGTGAAATTTAACAATTTCTTTACAAAGAAGTAGAGTGAACCAGTGACATATAAAATGCATATCATTTGCAACCAAATTGTGTTTTGAAGAAAAATTCTGTGTCCTTTTATAGAGTTCATAGCACTGGCTTCGTGGTTGTATATAATCTTAAAGTGGAATAATTGATTCATTTATGAATATTAATTTTGATTAAATTAGTCTCTTCCTTTTCGGCAACAGGCATTCCTGTAAATTAGCTTCAGTGGATACATACATATCATGTAGTGGTGTTCCAATCATCGATTATAATCGAAAATCAGTCAATTACTGACATTATCCAAGCAATCAATTGCATTTTTAGCTCACCTCAACGAAGTCGAGATGAGCTTATGCTATACCCCCGGCATTGGCGTTGGCGTCAGCGTCGGTGTCAGTGTTTGCATCAGTGTCCCAGGTTAAAGTTTAAGGAGCAAGTCCATTCCCAAGTAACTATTAGCCCTATCTGAACCAAACTTGCATGGATGATGCATCTAGGGATGTACACTACCAGACTTGCTTCGGATGCTGGATCTGACCTACATTTTCTAGATGAGTGACCAGGTTAAAGTTTTTGGAGCAAGTTAAAGTTTTTGGAGCAGGTCCATTTCCACGGAATTATAAGCCCTACCCAGACCAAACTTGCATGGATGATGCATCTATGAATGTACACTACCAGACTTGCTTCGGATGCTGGATCTGACCTACATTTTCCAGATGAGTGACCAGGTTAAAGTTTTTGGAGCAGGTCCATTCCCAAGGAATTATAAGCTTACCCAGACCAAACTTGCATGGATGATGCATCTATGAATGTACACTACCAGACTTGCTTCGGATGCTGGATCTGACCTACATTTTCCAGATGAGTGACCAGGTTAAAGTTTTTGGAGCAGGTCCATTCCCAACTAAATGAACCAAACTTGCATGGATGATGCATCTAGGGATGTACACTACCAGACTTGCTTCGGATGCTGGATCTGACCTACATTGTCTAGATGAGTGACCAGGTTAAAGTTTTTGGAGCAGGTCCATTCCTCAGGAACTATAAGCCCTATTTGGACCAAACTTGCATGGATGATGCATCTAGGGATGGACACTACCAGACTTGCTTCGGATGCTGGATCTGACCTACATTTTTCATTCCCAAGTAACTATGAACCCTACCAGAAGCAAACTTGCATGGATGATGTATCTAAAGATGTACACTACCAGACTAGTTTCAGATGCTATGGACACTACCAGACTTGCTTCCGATGCTGGATCTGACCTACATTTTTTATTCCCAAGTAACTGTAAGCCCTAGCTAAACCAAACTTGCATGGATGATGTATCTAGGGATGGACACTACCAGACTTGCTTCCGATGCTGGATCTGACCTACATTTTCATTCCCAAGTAACTATAAGCCCTACCTGAACCAAACTTGCTTGGATGATTTATCTAGGGATGGACACTACCAGACTTGCTTAGGATGCTGCATCTGACCTACATTTTCATTCCCAAGTAACTATAAGCCCTACCTGAAACAAACTTGCATGGATGATGTATCTAGGGATGGACACTACCAGACTTGCTTCCGATGCTGGATCTGACCTACATTTTTCATTCCCAAGTAACTGTAAGCCCTAGCTAAACCAAACTTGCATGGATGATGTATCTTAGGATGGACACTACCAGGCTTGCTTCGGATGCTGGATCTAACCTAAAGTAACTATATAAGCCCTAGCTAAACCAAACTTTCATGGATGATGCATCTTAGGATGGTCACTATCAGACTTGCTTGGGATGCTGGATCTGACCTATATTTTCCATACAAGAGACCAGGTTAAAGTTTTGGGAACAGATCAATCCGAATGAACTTGAAGTCTTTGATATCTGCAGTTTTAACAGTTATGAATATTTGTTTACAAAATACATGTTTTTCACACTAAACGCATAGAAATGTGTATATGCCATGTAGAGGGTTAAGCACAACTTGCAAGAATATTGTTGTTGGGATGAATACTTAATATTAAGAAAATATGATGTAGGATTTGCGTTACTTAAACTGATAACATTCGTTGAGGTGAGCTTCGTAATCTTTGATTACGTATGTTTAAAATTCTCATTAATTGGTTTATTATTTTATTTTACAGGCATAATAGTTTTTAACCCTAATTTTCCAACCACAGTATTGCTTTTGACTTATTTGTGTAACTTAAAGGTGCAGATAAATAAACTCTTGTATTTCTACCCGGAAAACAAATCATATTTTTGGGATTGGGCATACTTTTTGTTCTATAAAAGGAACAAAGGACCAGCTGAATCACCACAGAAAGTCCTCATTTACCCATTCTTATGATTTACTTGTTTAAATTGTTATACTTTATACATTCCGATTATAATCGATAATTAGTTAGTTAGAGTAACCCAATCATCGATTATAAAATTCTTACCGATTCCCATCACTAATATCATGTATATAAAATTTTTATGAATCTATTTAATTACTAATACAATCTTCAGTGAAATATTTATGTGCTGATTTAACAAATTTAACACACCCAGTAAAAGGTAAACTCACTCTTTAGATGAGGATTTAAGGAATTAATACTAGTCTACATGGTCTAGTAAAATATTTTAAATAATGATAAAAGTATTCGAATTTTAAATGCACCTAGAATTTCAGAAATCTGCTTACCGGTAATACTTTTTATGTGCCTTGATCGATAGGTTGGGGGTTGCATATTGCTTTTGTCTTGTCATTTTGTCAAGAAACTGAAGCCTTCGACATAACTTTTGAACAATGAAAGGATAGTAGAGACTTCATATTTGGTATGCATATTTCACCAATTAATTTCTTTCAAATGACTCTAAGGTCAAAGACTTTGTGACCATGACTGTAACCTAAATGTAAAAAATATCTTTTTTGAACTTTTTTTTCGCCAGACACAGAGTGTTTGACAAACACATCTTGTTATTGCATGTATCTACATGTACATGTATTTTGTAAATTGTTTTTAAACCATGACAGTCTTATGTTTACATTAATTTGATTATTTAAATTTTTGATTTCCAGTGGATGCATTGTTTCCTTCTTACCGTAAAGAGGAACCAGAGGACAGGGATGAAACTTCATCAGAAAACAAAGATATCTTGAATGTTCAAGAAAAGGAAACTGACAGATGCAATGTTAGAAATCAACTGATAGAAACAGATTCAGAAAAGCCTTTCAACATGTCAAGAACAGACCTGTCTGGAATGGCAGAATTTTACAACACAAGAGAAGAAGGCACTGATCCAGAGGTAGAACAAGGAATAAAAACAGTGGATGATGGGGAAAGCGTGTGTTTAGATAAAGATTTGGATGTATTTTATGTCGACTTATTAGATGATGAGGAAGATGAGACTGCTTTACATGTGGGTCAGGAAAAGGAATACGAGATATCCTTCTCTGTGGAGTTACCCAGCCAGACAGAGGACTCCTACAGACAGACAGGCAGACACAAACAGGACAACAGTTTTATCATTCTAACATCCTTGGAAGAAGAAAAGTTACTCAATCAAAAGGAGAGCACTATATCGTCAGGGTCTGTTACGGTCTCAAGTTATCAGCAGCACACCTATCGCAATCTGTTAAACAGGGTTGAGGAGGAGAGACAGAGAAAAGTGTTCTGTGAGTCCGACTTTAATCAGTTTGACAGCTACACTAGTTTATTTTCTTATGACAGTCTTGGCTATGCAGGTTTTCAATTGAAAGATGTTCAAGAAAATTTAAACATGAAAAGAGAATTTCATTTTTCGGAGAAAGTCAACTGCTGGGAGGAAGGTCCTTTACATGAAACGTCAGAACATAAATCAATTAATGTGAACTTAGTTGTTGAAGACATTACTGAAAGATTTAAATTTGTAGAGCCAAAAAGTAAACTCTCACCCAAAAAGTTGAATGGAAAAGTTAGTTTTGAAGATAAATTTCAACATGATGTCAAAAAAGAATTAGAACCATTTTTGTGTACTATGCTTTGTGCTTTTCTTCTGAATCTAAGTGTAATAGCTGCAGTCTTTACACAGTCTGAAGATAAAGATCTTGTATCTCAAGTTGAGAAGAAAAAAAGGAAGTTGAACACATCTAGAAGAGAGAAACGACAAAGGCAGAGACTTCTACGAGAAATCATCAACTGGCAGATAAGTCTTAGAAGAAATACAACTGTTATGTATGATTTCCAAACCCAGAATATTTACCCATCCAGAAATGGAAACATAAGACTACATGAAATTGCTAATGAAGGCTTGGAAGGTGGTCAAGCTGAGAATGGGATTGTACAAAGTCGACCTGCAGAAGCGATTCCAAGCATAGGCGAACAGCAGAATGGATTACCCAATGGCAACTCTGCAACATTTCCCAGGTACGTATCGGAAAGAAATCAAACTGGGAATATGGACGCCAGTAGGCACTTCTACTCCAATCCAGCAGTGGGGACAGAGAGACCTCAGGTTGACCCCCTCACCAGGTCCCTACCAGCTATTCACACAGTGGGGCCCCATATGGGGGGTTTGTCTGCCAATGAGGCCCTCCCAGGGATAGAAGAGAGTGAGGGCTCCAGACCACTAAGCACAGAGAACAATGCTGTACCTCCAACAGAGGAGAAAGAGTCGCAGAGAATAACAGCGACAGAGGAGGCAGTATCTACCCCCTCCCAGCCCTCAGTACCCCCTGAGGCAGACGGCCTATCAATGACGTCAACATCTACCCCCTCCCACCCTTCAGTTCCCCCTGAAGCAGACGGCCAATCAATGATGTCGACAGAGACCCTCAGTAGCTTCTTCAGCAGTGTCTCCCTGTCGTCTGTTGAGGAAGACGAGGCGTTCCGATACGAGTGGATCAGACTGAAGACGTTCTCCAGCTGGCCCCTGACGTCACTGTTCTCCACCGCCATGGCTCGTGGTGGGTGGGTGGCCCTGGGGGAGGGGGACAAGGCCAGGTGTTACAGCTGCCATGTTGTCCACCAGGGATGGAGGATCGGGGACAATCCGTTAGATTTCCACGATAGACACTGCAGGTGAGGTGTATTTCTACACTTATTTAATGTACAGTGTTTTCCCTTTATTTCAAAGTAAAGGATTAGAGATCAGTTGTAACAGACTAAGGCATGAGGTTGATGGCCAGTTGCTGGTTCTTAGGGAAAACACTGATGTATGGGTTATTTCTAAGATTTTTTTAAAGTCGTCTGTGCTTGTAAATTGCTTTTCAGTTTGCTTTAAAATATTATGTGTATTATGGATTTGCTATTAAAATGCTTGTAACATTATGTTTAATAATTTTAAAAAATAATCTTAATATATTAAGTAATTCACTGATAAAAGTATGTCTTTTCTTCTTAAATAATTGTCAGTTGCCTGCTCATCTCAAATTTTTATCAATAAGCTATTTTTTTTAAATATGACAGTGACAAATTAGACTATTTAATATCCACTGTATACTTATTTATTTCATACAGAGTAACAGAACCTATTGTTATATTTTTTTCAGATTTTTACAAAGTGTGTCAGATAATGTCCCCATTATTCGGGAGGAGCCTGCCCCTACCCTGAGGACAGTAGAGAGGGACCGTGAGAGACCCCCCGAGAGCTGTGAGGTAGCACCCCAGGGGAACATGACAGGACAGTTACCCCGGCCCGAGGAGGAGAGAAACGTTGTGATGAATATGATGTCTAAAGACGTCGGCGAACCTTTCCAGGAAGAGAGGGGGAACCTTGTAGCCGTGAGCAGTAACCCTGGCAACGTAACAACTAACCTAGAGGTCAGTTTGGCAGACATGTAATGTGTGTAGCCATATGTAAAAGACCTTAAACATGTTAAAATATATCATAAACTGAGACTTGTATAGCAATATTTACATTTCCAATAAATTTCCCCTAAAATAAAATGCAGTATATTTTCTCATGAACTACATTACGTATGTACCACGAATAAGCATGAATATCTCCATTGTTATGTCATAATACCGCACTTGAGATCAAAAAGTCAAAAATATTGTGCACTCTGTTTTGTTTTAAAAATGACAGTTGAACGGCATAAATTTATGGCAAGTCATCAGAAAAATAATGTAAATATAAGAAATGAATTCAATTTTTAGCTCTTCTGAGCCAAAGGCTCAAAGAGCTAATGCTATGGCCATTTGTGCGGTGTGCGTTAACTTTTTAGAATATGGGCCATAACTCAAGAACCCCTTGGCCAATCAGTGTCAAATTTGTCACAGGGTATCCTTGGCCCAAGGGCTACCCTTTGTACTAAAATAAGGGTTGGGACCCTTAAACAAGGGGAGATAATCAGGAAAACAAAACCAAAAGTACTGGTTGCTAAAAAATCTTCTCCAGAACCACCAGGCAGATTTTCACCAAACTTACATACAAGGATCAGGATATGTTGAAGATTAAAAATTGTTCAAGGCATGACCCTCGGGCAAAGGGCGTGGTCTCAAGGTCACTTCAAAGTTGACCTAAATTTACAAATAATAAAAACGTTTATATTTTGCTTACTATTAGGACTAGGATCATCAAATCTTGTAAGTTGATGCATCTCAGGACTTCACATCATGTTAACACAAAAGTAGGTCACGGTGACCTACTTTTTAAATTTTGTGGGCATTTGTTTTCAAATTGATTTGAAGGCATATTTCGGGCACTTTAAGGCCTATGATCATCAAACTTTGTCAGTTGATGCATCTTGGGTCCTTGAACAATGTCAGCTTAAAAGTAGGTCACTGTGACCTACTTTTTGAACTTTATGACTAATTCTTCTTAAAACATTTAATCCAATTATTTCAGACACTGAGAGGGTTAGAATCATCAAATCTTGTTAATTGATGCATCTTGGGACCTTAAAACATATTTATGAAAAAGTAGGTCACTGTGACCTACTTTTTGAATTTTGCAGGCATTTGTTTTCGAATTGTTCAAAAGGCTTATTTTGATTACCTTTAGACCTAGGATCATCAAACTTGGTCAGCAGATGCATCTTGTGACTTTGAAAAATGTCGACCAAAATATAGGTCTGGTCCCGATGACCTAGTTTCAACAATTTATGGCTATATTTTAGTATCTTAGGTATTTATTGGCTTAGAATCATCAAACTTTGTGAGTTGATGCATCTTGGGTTTTCGGAGAATGATGTCCAAAAAGTAGGTCACTGTGACCTACTTTCGACTTTTTATGGCTAAATTTTAGTATCTTAGGTATTTATTGGCTTAGAATCATCAAACTTTGTGAGTTGATGTGTCTTGGGTTTTCGGAGAGTGATGACCAAAAAGTAGGTCACGGTGACCTACTTTTGACATTTTATGGTTTTATTTAAGTATCTACGGTACTTATTGGCTTAGAATCATCAAATTTTGTAAGTTGATGCATCTTGGGTTTTCGGAGAAAGATGTCAAAAAAGTAGGTCACTGTGACCTACTTTTGACATTTTATGGCTTTATTTAAGTATCTATGGTACTAACTGGTTTAGAATCACTAAACTTTGTTTGTTGATGCATCTTTGGTTTTTAGAGAATGTCGATCAAAAAGTAGGTCATGGTGACCTACTTTTGAATATCTCAGGTACTTTTTGGCTTAGAATCATCAAACTTTGTCAGTTGATGTATCTTGGGTTTTCAAAGAATGTAGACAAAAAAGTAGGTCATGGTGACCTACTTTTAAATATCTCAAATACTTATTGGCTTAGAATCTTCAATCTTTGTTTATTAATGCATCTTGAGTCCTCAGAAAACTTCAATCTTAATATAGGTCACTGTGATGTACTTATGGTTTTTTATAGCTTTATTATTAAAAATATTATCAGTCATTATTGGCTAAGAATCATCAAACTTTGTCAGTTGATGCAACTTGGGTCTTAGGATACTTAAGGTTAGAGGCTTCAAATAGAAGTGATAAATTGTACAATTTATCAGAAGAGCGATTCAAGGGCCTCTTGTTAGATGATTCAAGATGTATATGAACTACGGCGCTTCACGCCGCCATATTTATCATGAAGCGCTAACGTGCTTCATGAAGTATGCCGGCGTGAAGCGTCGGAGTTCATAACCTCATGAATCTTCAAAAATTAAATTCATTTCTCAATTGTATTCAGATTTCATGAAAGCAAACTCTGCATACTTTTGTCATCTGTCTATGGTTGAAATGTAAAAGTTAAAGGGTTATATTAATTTTGTATTTTTTTTTTTACCTGAATTATTGTCAACGATTTGCTATTATAATATGTTGTTTCAGAAAGGCATTATTTTTCTTTTAAAAATCAATGCTATAAATGTTAAATGACTTTCTTTGATTTATAGATGTCGGAGAGACCTCCTGTTTACAATTCATCATACACCTCCAGACCTACCCACCAGCTAGTCACAGCTGTGGAATCTAACCCCATACTGAAGCACAGCCCCTCCAATCCCCAGGGTCACTCCACTGCTGGTCCCCCACCCCTGCCCCCCGGCAGAGAGGCCCAGTTAGAGGCACTCCGGAGGGACCCGATGGGGATTAACTTCGACCGCCCTAAGTACCCGTCCTACGCCATTCTGGCTGTACGGATCAGCTCCTTCACTGATTGGCCGACAGCCATGACGCAGACACCACGAGACATGGCCCTGGCAGGGTTCTTTTATGCTGGATACGGCGACTACACACGCTGCTTTTTCTGTGGAGGGGGACTAAGGAACTGGGAGGCTGGGGACGACCCCTGGGTAAGGCAGAGGCAGTTTTGATTCACAGTGAATCTACAGTATCAATATGGATATGGATTCATGCACTTATCTTTGTGTAAATTTTAATTAGAAAAAAAATTCCTCATGTTTTGGATGTAGCCAATAAAAAATGCAAATGCCATAATGCAGCAAATAAAAAATGCAAATGCCATAAAGTTTTCCAGACATTAAGTACCTGAATGATATATTCTAATAGAAATGCATGCATTTCTTCATCATTTTTTTTCCAAGTAGAACTGTAAGGTTATTCATAATCTATGTTGTTTCAAGGTTGAGCATGCTCGCTGGTTCAGTAAGTGTGCGTTTGTGAGACAGAATCGTGGACAGCAGTTTATCGATCTTGTACTGAGACGTGCTGCTGAGATGGTAAGTGACAAAAGGAGTTCCTGTGCTAAAATAGAACTGTAGATCAAAATGGCACAGATTAAGGCTATCTAAATTTAATTCCCTGGTTCTCAGGCCTATTTTCTCCAAAACAGAAGCGGAAAGGCGGCATTTTATTTCTCATTTTATTGGCAATAAAGTAGTTGAGGGAGGTATTTTTTTAAATTTTAATTTCCGAATTTTCTTTAACATAAAGATATTTTTTTAATCACAGATATACTTTCCATTTCTGGTCAAAATTTCTGCTTTATCCACTGCTTAACAGCGTGTAAACATCGTAGGTAATGTTCTCGAATGTATTTTCAAACGAAGTAGCCAAAATCTCATTGTAAATGGCTACTGGAAGTGATATTTGAATACTAAACTACGAAACAAATGAGGTCGGAATTTTTTTTCCCGGATTGGTCTCCGCAATACCAACTTTTTATTTTATCAAAAATACAATAAAATCGGCAATGCGGCTACCTCAAAACGGATGCGCGTGGGCCTGAGAACCAAGATTTCAATTTTATATGGCCTAACTGATATTTTCATAATAATGTCCAAGATAAATAAAAAAAAATTGTTGAAAATTTTTTTAATTCAGGAGTCTTTCAGAGACTATTTGTATTCAGATCTTTTATTACTTAACTTGCAATATTTTAAGGCAGTATTGTTGGCAATATAAGTTAAAAGCCTTGAACTTTTGAAGAAATTTTATCCCATGACTTCCTTAGAAGTTTTATATTTGAACCATTGTCATTATGATTTATTTTGAATATATCTTGTATATAGGAGGAACAGAGATCACAGGATGATGCTGGAAACTCGCAGACAAACCCACAGACAAATACAAATACTAGTAAGTAATTAAAACACAGACACACATACTAGTAACAAACTTACAAGTACTAGTAATTGATAAACATAAAGCTAATAAAAAAGAAATTTAATACATTCAACAAATATACACATAAACAATTTCATGAGTAGGGAAAGTGTGCAGGTATACAGATGTATGTATCAACAGTCAGATGTGTACATAGACAACAATTATCTAGACAAATAAGACTGTACATTTTCTTATGGAATATCAGTTTGTAACAGATAAGTAACTCAAGCTCCACTTCTTTACAAATAAAATGACAGACACAGAGTAATTGGACCTACATCACCTATCCAGGTATGATGTTACATTTCACCTGTGTTAACCTATTTACAGGGATACTGTCCAGGTGTGATGTTACATTTCACCTGTGTTAACCTATTTACAGGGATACTGTCCAGGTGTGATGTTACATTTCACCTGTGTTAACCTATTTACAGGGATACTGTCCAGGTGTGATGTTACATTTCACCTGTGTTAACCTATTTACAGGGATACTGTCCAGGTATGATGTTACATTTCACCTGTGTTAACCTATTTACAGGGATACTGTCCAGGTGTGATGTTACATTTCACCTGTGTTAACCTATTTACAGGGATACTGTCCAGGTGTGATGTTACATTTCACCTGTGTTAACCTATTTACAGGGATACTGTCCAGGTGTGATGTTACATTTCACCTGTGTTAACCTATTTACAGGGATACTGTCCAGGTGTGATGTTACATTTCACTTGTGTTGACCTGTTTACATAGATACTGTCCAGGTCCTTTGTTGAGTTATGTTTTACCTGTGTTGACCTATTTACAGGTGAAACTGTTTAGGTCAGATGTTGAATTATGTTCACCTGTGTTTACCTATTTACAGGTGATGCAGCCCAGACCCTTGCTAAGGAGGAGAAGATCATGAAGTCGGCAGCCGTTATAAGCATCAAAGACATGGGGTACGGCGAGGAGATAATTAAAACAGCCATCACTACCATCAAGAGCAGGCTTCCCAGAGGTACTGTATTTACTTTTAAAAAACCTCCCTGCTGCATTGAATTTTGAAATTTATAGCCTGAGAAATTATTAATAACAAATCTTATGGCCTTAATGATAAAGATTAATAATTACAGCTGATAAAACGATATGGAAATTTATGTATAGTTGCATCACTTTTCTTCAGTAAAGTTAAAACAAAAAAAAAGAAAGCATCGATCTCCAAGAAATTTGAAAAATTGCAATTTGCACTGTATGACATTTTTTATAGTCTTCACAATATATTGTAAAAACTGCTTGACTTCTAATAATTTAACAACTTTTTAGGTAAACACAAGGTATCTGCTCAAGAAATCTTGGAGGTCATATTTGAATTAGCAGACAACCAGAGAGCATCAGAAAATTCCAGCAGCCAATCAGAATCACAGAGATATGTTGACCAATCAGAATCCTCCTCCACTCCTGCTGTCCAATCAGGAGCTATCACAGAGAATGTCACAAATAATGTCAGCCAATCAAATTCCACTAGAGATAAAACTGACCAATCAACAAGTGAGGAGGCTGCAGCCACAGGAACTTCAAATGCAGGTAAAGATGGAGAGATAGTAGTCCATGCTTCTGTGTTTTAGAATTTAGTTTTATTTCCCCAGTGTGAATTTTTTTTTTAATATTGACTGTATACACTATCTGTATTGCGTAAATATGGCTGAAAGTTGATAAAAATATTTTTGGGGGGACTAGGAAATTATCAGTTTGCTTTTGTGTAAAACTGACTCACAAAATAAAAACCATGAATTTATTTTTAGACTACATGAGATTACCATATCAAAAATTTAATTTTTATAGATTTTTCTTTCCCCCCTACATTTCAATTTTTTTTCTCTTGAAGCTGAAGTTGGCACTGGAGAAAGTATTTCCAATTTTTTATCTAACCCTACTTATGATGGTGAGTGATATTTTTTACTTATGTCTTTTACCTGTTTTTTAGCTCTTCTGAGCGAAAGGCTCAAAGAGCAAATGCTATGTCCATTTGTGCTGTGTGCATAAACTTTTTAGAATATTGGCCATAACTCAAGAACCCCTTGACCAATCAGTGTCAAATTTGCCACAGGGTATCCTTGGTCTAAGGGCTACCATTTTTACTAAAACTAGGGTTGGGACCCTTAAACAAGGGGAGATAATAAGAAAAATAAAATCAAAAGTACTGGTGGCTAAAAAAATCTTCTCCAAAACCACCTGGTAGATTTTCACCAACTTACATACAAGGATCAGGATATGTTGAAGGTTAAAATTTGCACAGGGAATTACCCTGGGGTAAAGGGCATGGTCTCAAGGTCACTTCAAAGTTGACGTAAATTTACATTTAATAAAAATGTTTATATTTTCCTTACTTTAAAATCTAGGATCATCAAATCTTGTACGTTAATGCATGTTAGGACTTCACATCATGTTAACCCAAAAGTAGGTCACTGTGACCTACTTTTTAAATTTTGTGGGCAATTGATTTGGAGGCAGATTTTGGACACTTTAAGGCCTATGATTATCAAACATTGTCAGTTGATGCATCTTGGGTCCTCGAACAATGTCAGTTTAAAAGTAGGTCACTGGCATCAAATGCACAGTAAAATTCATCTTAAAGTAGGTCACTGTGACCCACTTATGTTTTTTTTGATAGGTTTATTAAAATATCTTCAGCCCTAATTGGCTAAGAATCATCAAACTTTGTCAGTTGATGCAACTTGGGTCTTAGGATACTTAGAGTTAGAAGCTTCAAATAGAATGACAGATTGTACAATTTATCAGATGAGCAATTCAAGGCCCTTAGGCCTCTTCTTTAAGAGCTTCTGTATATTTCTAAAAACTCTTAGTAAAGTTTAATAAACTATTATGAAAACATTTATTCCCATTGTTATTTTACACTATTTTGTGATTATTTTTTTTTAAATGTTTGGAATAATATTTAAATTTGATTAACCATGATAATTATTAATTTTAAAATATAAGTAGTACAAAAATGGAAGTGCCAGTTGATGTCATCATTTTGTTGACTTTTGAAATTTTTGGCTTGAGAAAGTAAAGATTAATTTTTGTGGCCTTAATGCACAAAATTTAGTCCTTATGTGTACCTATAAATAAAAAGGTCTTTTAAGCATGTATGGTAATGGACAGAACTCAGTTTTCTTTCAACTTGGAAGAATAAAAAAAAAAGAGTGTGCATAAGAAACTATACATTATGGGAGAGGGAGGGGGGGGTGAAAAAAATTGAATGTTTAAAAGTTTGTAATGAGGAAGAAGGGATAAGGTTTTTGTAAAATTTGTATGTAAGCAATCTGTAAAAAAGAGTGTGAAGTCAAGTTGTTCACCACGAGACCTAACTGTTGGGTTTCTGTCAAGTGGTTTCTGAATGAACTGTGTCAGTGAATAGATGGTTAGCAAGTTTAGGGGAAACAGTGAAAAGAAACTGTGTGTGAAAAGTGAATTGTGAGCAAATCATGAACAGTGAGTGAAATCACATCAAGTGAAAGTCGGGCATGAGTGAAAAGTAAAAGCTGCATGAACAAATATAAGGGTGAACGTGAGTAAATCTTTAATTCATTTCAATGCTTTAAAACTATATCCAACATCAGTAATGTTTTTTTTTTCAAATTGAAGCATTTTAAAAATCCATTGTTTTATATTGAACTTTTTGCAGAGCTGACGTCCCTGAGACAGGAGAACACAAGTCTTAAGGACCAGATCGTGTGTAAGATCTGTATGGAGAAGAACGTGTCCATTGCCTTCCTGCCGTGTGGTCACCTGGCCTGCTGTGCTGATTGTGCTCCAGCCATGAGGAAGTGTCCCATCTGTAGGGAGTTTGTCAGGGGAACTGTCAAAACCTACCTGGTGTAAATGTTAGGAGGGAGTTTGTCAGGGGCACTGTCAAAACCTATCTTATATAAACTTTCAGAAGTCTGGGAGATTTCAAAAGGGGTCCTCTCAAATTTTTTTTTTAGGTCACCTAGTCAATCGGGTGACCTATTGCTATCTGTTTCCAGCCGTCAGTGTGTAGCACCATGAACCATGCTTTGCTGTGTATTTTGCATCAGACCAAAACTTTAGACATTTTCAGCTACTCATCTTTCCCAAGGGCTTTGCAAAGAATTCATGTTCAGCTTTTTGGGACAGAGGGAATGTAAGGTGATGGTGATGATTTTTGAGTTAGGTATAACAAAATTAGGGAAAAATTTAAAATAGGAGAAAAAAATAACACAGTTATACAAGACAGGTTATGTCACCTTCAGAAAAAAAGTGAGTCCATCATATCCTTCAAGCTACCATTTTGCTCCAGTTAGAGGTTAATATTAATTGTTTGTGTCTCTTCCCATATACTGATACTGTTTTTATGTGAACAAATACCGTATATCGGGGATGTGTTATTAAAACAAAATCAT